GAGCCTGGACAACTCTACGAAAGATGAACTGGAAAAATTAGTTTCATACATGTAGGGGCGTAGATAGGGATGGGCAAGGGTGATAGCATGCCTAAGGACTCTGAAAGGGAAAGGGGCGGAAAAAAAAACAGGAAAAGCTTGTACAAAGGGAAACGGAAGGCTGGTCGGTCGGTAGAAATGAGGAAATCTGATTAATAATAATGTACAGGGTGGGTCATAGATATTCATACCACTGGTAACTTTTCTTTTTCTGAATGCCAATAAACAGCGAAGAATAAAATTAATTTTGTATTTAAATATGAACGTCTCATTGGTGGTCAATCTTGGCTGCTTTAACATGAATCCTTCGACTCAAACAGTTGGACATTCAAAAATTTGCAGAATTGTCAAAAGAACACGAATGGCCCCTGTAATCATATAATTACCGCATGTTGGAAACAAGTGTCCAAAAACGAAATCCAGCGACCTGAACCAGTAAAGGCTGGTGCCAAAAGAGTAGTGAAACTTTGTCCGTCCAGTGCGATCGACCGGCAGATTCAAAGATTGAAGAACGGGGACACATCGAAAATATTACTGTGAGCCCTTGTCTTTCGTTGAGATTCAGTTGATTCCGTGAATAGTTGTTAGTAAAGGAAATAAAATATTTCGATTTGGTGTGAATATTTATGGTCCACTCTGAAATATGCGGTGGAGTCCAAGATCCCCTGAAAGTTTTCTCTACATTGTCCAATTTGTAAATGAGTTCGTGTCATTGCGACAGAACAGTAAATGCTATGCACTGGCTGGCTCCCCACAGAGCCAACATACCCATCCTTCTTCAGCTTGATGGAAGGCTATGCTTCAACATATTTAAAAGTGAAATCCATAGAGGGAGTACCAAGTAAGCACATGTGGAATGCTGTTGTTTGACCCAGTCCAATGGTCTCCTATTAAGGCTGGGATCTTCCAGAAATCCTGTTCTATTTCTCCTTCCTTTTGTTCCCCAAATCCATCCCACATTGCCAGTTCTGCCCATTTTGGGGGAGAATCTTATCTTATCTTATCTTATCTTAACTGCGAGTTCATTCTCTTCTGACTAAATTTTTAGAACATCCAGACCTTTTGCTATTGCTTCTCAAGCGGGGCAATAACCATCTGCAAACACCATCACCTTCAAAGATGGATGGGCCATCTTGATGGCAGATGCTAGGCCAAGGTGAAACAAGACAACAGGTACGGACTTTGAGGGGAATCCCCTCGAAGTTATCCCAAGTCTCCTAAGTCATCCCAAGTCAAGTTATCCGAAGTTATCCCAAGTTTCTGTACAACTAGCTTTGTGTTCTGGAGGCCATCATCATACTACCCCCATTCGGAGTCTTCCTTTTTTCATTTTCTTTTTTATTGAGTCTTTTTCTAAGTCCATGGACTTAGAAAAAGACAAATCCCACGAAAATTTTTTAATGGCGACGCCCCCAAGCACGGAAAGGGCGCGGAAAGGAAAGGGGGGGAGAGAATGTCTCATCTAGGATTGCATTACAGGGTACTTATGGCCTTGCATGCAGGCTATCAGGTACAGTACTGTAACATCTAAATCTTGCCGACCGTAACGTAACCTAGCCTACAAGCACATCTCAGATTAACCCTTCATATCCGTGCGACGTACATTGTACGACAGGCTGCCGCGTCATTTGCGGCCGTCTGACGTACAATGTACGACTAGTGCAGAGGTAACTTGCTGCACCTCTCCTCTTGAGAATTTTTTTTATATTTGAAATCTGATGGTGTCATCTGAAAGATGGAACTCCAAACTCAAATCCCAAATCCAAATTCAATAACAATTACAGAAGATGAAAAAATCCCCATGCAAATTTCAGTTATGGTAACCTACTTTCAAGCTGTTTTGTACTAGCAATCTTGAGCTATTGCAAAATAAACGTGTTAGACTTTCGTGGGACACCTTATTAGTCTTCTTCATTGTACCACTTAACACATTCAGCCCAGAGTCGGAAATCCACTTACCAGCCCTGTAGCCCTGTCATTTTTCACTAAAAACTTTTTTTTTTACATTTTGCTGGCGAAAGAATTTATCTCCCTGGAGATCTTTCATAGAAGTATCAGTAGGACTCTATCCTCTTAGCTGCTGAAAGATCTCCAAGGAGATAAACTCCTTAGAAGCTAGAAAATTTATCACAGCATTCATGTCACTTTTTATATCCCTTCAGCAGACCCTTTGGTAGCACATTGAAAAAATCCATAGAAGCTATCTTTAATCGATAAATATGATGAAATTTTGCCAGTCACCATCAAAGACATCTGCCTTCTCATGATAAAGTAAAAAAGGTGCATTGCAACTGGAAGTACCTCAGGCTTAGAACTTTTTGATCACCCGACGTAAACCCGGAAAGGCGTTGCACGTCAGGTACGGGCTGTTTTGAAAGCATGATGTGGAAACTCATCAAACTAAACGAACAAAATAATAATGTATTAATATATATCATGGATTGGTTTGAACGTGGGTTCTTGTTTCTCCACCTTTTCTTAAATAGGTTGCAAAACTGTCTTTGGGTAGCAGTATGGGCCTTCTCTACTAGATATGCCAAGTCACTGATTTCACCACGTGGTCTCATTTTACTTGGAGGTTAGCGTATTGCATCACAGAGACTCTTTCCTAATCCTGATTTTGTTCAACAGCTACGACGGATTCCATAACCCTCGAATGTATCAAACGATAGTCCTGCACATATTGATTTATTTAACAGTCCTGAAGAAATTTCACTGTCCACAGGCAGCGCGTCAGAACGATGCCGAGAGCATCGAAACGACAGCGCACCGGCAAGGGAATTGTTGTTTTCTTAAATGTTTTCCTTCTATAATTCTGTAACATTGCAAGAATTCAACTACTTTGTTCCCCTAAAAAGTAATACTACTCGGAGCTACAGGAATTTCCACGCAGTGTCAAAGCCTGCAATAAGGTGAACTTGAAAAACTTGACTAGGTCTATTAAGGTTTCCTCTCCCCGAGATGAACGAGCCGCAAATATCCTTGAGTGACCAACCTGGCCCTAGAAACCGCATCCCGAAGCAAGGCCAACCGGAAGAACAAATGGGCCAGAGACCCGAAATAGGAAACTGAAGCATGGGGTCCTTTTGAATGAAATGACGCCACGGGAAAATTCTGGGATACATGATAAGCCAATATGAAAATTGAGTCAATTAATCAATCATTGCAACTCACCCTTTAACCTTAGAAGCGGCAACTGCCGATCAATCGACAATTCACTCGTCTCAGGGTTTAACCAAGCCACTTCTAGGGTAAAGGAAGAGCTTTGTATGCCGGCGGATCAGTTAGGACTCCGCTCGTTTAGTTAGGAGTCAGGAGTCAGGAGTCAGGAGAGTTAGTGATATCAAGAGGCGATTTCGCCCATTTCGATATCACGTGTCGAGGTCGAGCGTTCCTTAATTTTAGGGTAGGCCTAACCCTCTTAAAGCTATATATTTTTGTATTTTTGTTTTGTTTTGTTTT